TCTCTCTCTCTCTCTCTCTCTCTCTCTCTCTCTCTCTCTCTCTCTCTCTCTTTCTCTCATTGTGCCAATTCATAATGTCCTTCACTCTCAATTGCTTTTTACAAATTTACTTATTCTTCCTTTTCTACTCTTGCCTTATTTTTTTCTCTACTTTTTCTTGACCTTCACATCTCAAACCCTATATTACTTTGTGTCTCAACGCGGTGGAACCAGGCATTTGTTACTATCTTAAAGCTTGTTCTTTATCTTACATTTGATTAAAAAAACCCAGCAACATATCAATTCATCTTGGATAGTAGCCGAGATGTTTGCAAATGAAGGAGGTGGAGGTCGCTTGGTTTCAGAGGTACAAGTAGCGAGAGAATTGCCACCAAAATTTGGCGACTTCCAAAGGATGAGTGTCCTTCGGAACTGTAAATGTTCATTTTTGTTGCCTTTAATGAACGTTTTTCGGTTTCACCCACAGAGACATACGTTAGTAAAATGACATAATAGGTTTTTAGCAAGAAAAGAAAAGAGAACAAGATTAATTTTTAAAATGCCCAACGCCCAGAAAAATGCCTGATTTCACCACGCTGCCTCTCATATTTATTTTATTTCAATTATCCCCTACCCCTTACGCTTTTCACTTTTAAATGTGTCTTTTTAATTAAACTCCTTGCCCCAACCTATACCCCAGAGAGGCAACAAATCTTCATAATGTTTAAGCGATTGTTCAAGACTCATTTCTTATTTATTTAATTAAATCTTAGTTGTAGTGTGCTAGCATGTGCTTTTTCCTACGACGAGTATGTATTATAATTAATGTATTGTTGAGAGAGTTTATCTTTATGTAGTTGAACTGGTTTTCTTGTTATAATATGAACTGTTTTTTTTTGGGTCTGAATCAAGTATACGATCAGTGATCTTATTATCGATGTAAAACACTCAGAGCTTATACTCGTATGGGATAGGGCGCTATATAAATACATTATTATTACTATCATTATTATTACTATCATTATTATTATTATTATTATTATTATTATTATTATTATTATTATTATTGTTATTTTGTTATTATTATTATTTTTATTATTAT